TATAGTTTGATTTTTTAGCTAATTTAACGTGGATATCTATATTTTTAACTGTTTTTGAGGTTTGATTTTAAGTGTCACCCTCTGGGGGAGATGGGTGGCATATAAATTTAATAAATAAATAAATAAATTATGTTAATTAATTATGTGTCAAATAAACTCTTATATAATTGAAAAACAAGCTTTATTGTTGTGAGATAATTTTAATTTTCTCAGTAGTTTCCCAATACTTTCTATTGCTTTAAAACAAAATGTGACAGTGAAAGAGGGTAATTTTGAATATGAATTCTTGGATTTATATATTCAGTTAGCATCTTACTCAGAATACTTTTTTTTCAGTCAAGAAACCAATGCACTGAAAATTAAATACCTGTATCCAAATTCAACTGTATGCTTTTTTCTTGCATCTTTTTTCAGAAACAAACCCAGTCTCTTTCTGGATTTAATAGCCACAATTTCCAGCTAGCAAATTATATCAGCTTAGTCGTCTATTTCATGATGGTTGTTACTTCTGCTTAGCAGAAGATTACAGGGATCTTCCTTTGCAAAGACATTTCTAATAAATTTAGAAAGGTGTTGCTTTTGTCTCATGTAAGACTGTTTTTGTCAGTTAATATCACTGAAAAAATCCTGGAGGTGATTTATTTTTTCCAAAATGAAAAATATTGCAATGGTTATGATGATACAGGATTTAACTACAATCAGATTCACCTTGACCACAGCAGACTTTGAGAAGAAAACCCGATCTGGCACGAGTGGCATGCTCTGGGTGCCATCAGCTAAGGACTGACGGCTGGTGGGGCCCAGAAGGAGAGTCTTTTCTGCTGTAGCATCCCCCCTTTGGAACATTATCTCCCCAAGATTAGATTGGCCCCATCCCTGTTGGCCTTTCAGAAGACCTTGAAAACTTGTTTTTGTGCCTGAGCCTAGGGTCCTGGGGGTGTGACAGAGCCCAAATCCTGGCTGCGTGGATGATTGGTTGGATAATGCCTGACTGCTGTTTTATTTTTATTTTTTATATTGTGCATTTTATGTATTTTATTTATTTTACTGTAAGCTGCCTAGAGTCCTGTAAAAGAGTTATAAAGCAAATGAATGAATGAATGAATGAACCCTCCGCAATCAATTTACCTTGCATTAATGAGGTACTGTGCTAGACTGATGTTTGCAGGTGATCCTGTGATTGTTACTTGTCGTTCTGCTGAACCTTCTGTAGCATTTGCAATCTTGATCTGTGCTCCTGACATTTGCCTGATTTCATTTATCTTGCTACCTTGTCTGCCAATAATGCAACCTATTAGCTAGAGCAAGACAAAAAAGATGTTGAGGTCAAAAGTAGGGATAGGGAAAAATTGTTCACATTTGAATGTGAACTTATTTTTCATTTTGAATTAGCACACAGATATTTACTCAAAACGCACAGTTGTCTGAATGCATTTTACCAACAATGTATAATACTGTAGATGTAAATATAGAGCTATAGTTATTTAGTGACAGGGAGAGATAAGAGATAGGGCCAGAAACATATGCCTATATGTACATAATAGGGAATGTAAGGGAAAAATCCATCCAGAAATGCTTTATATAAGAAAAAATTATTTGCCCAAAGTGGAAACATTAGGCAAAAATCACACACAGGAAAATGCATACATTTGAAAAGGTATGGATTAAAATGGTACATTTTTAAACTCTCATTGAAGGCAAAACTGAGCAACGATAAACTTCATATACGTGTAAAAATGAGAAAGTCTACTGGCCAAGAAATAAAAGTAAAACCATTTCATGAGAGTTTTATGTAGATATGATTCAAGCTCAGGAAATCTGCCATTAGGCTGCCTTTGAAATATTACTATGAGGTATCAAATGGTCACCTATGTTATGTAGCTTTTTTAACATTTTGGATTTTAACTAACAAAATTAAAAAACAAACTATATTTTTTGAAAGATTAATTTAAAATAAATACTAAAATCAATTAACAGGAATTAATTTTTAGAAAAAGAAATGAGAGTAATTTAATGCATTGGTCTCTCTTAAGGAACTTGAAAGTCTAAACATACACAGAATAATTTCAATTTTGTGGAGGATTCCTGTTCATCCTTTTATATTTTACTTTTTTTTCACCCCGCAGACCACAGAATGATAACACAGAGGCCTGTGGTACTTCAGATGGCAAAAATTTGTTCTATCACTCTTTGTGTCAGCACTTTGAGGTAGAACAGTTCAAGAAACAGGAATGGCAGAGATTCTCTGAGGACCCTTCTTCAGAGGGGAGTTTCTAAAAGACCAGGCTCTGGAGTAATTTAATCCAGAGGTTCCACAGGTGCAGCACTTTCCAGCTGACTCAGAAATCTCTCCTCTGCTTCAGACAAGGATCTCTAAGGTTGCTATCTGCATGGGCTTTACAGTGCTGGAGTCCAAGAAAATCATGGGCCGGGGGGGAGGGGTGTAAAGAGCAATAAAAGTCTGTAAAACCTCCTTCCTCTATTATGTTCTTCATGTGTCAACTCCTCCAACTGCCCATTGATTGAGATGCAACACTGAAATGCTTCTTCCAAATTCTCTAGGTTGCTTTGTCTTACATACCTTCCTGAAACTAGTCAATCAGGGTCAGATCATTCCAACCTGCATCTTTAGCATACAATGGAAATCAGCTATGTACTTACTAATTTGTTGATTTCCTTGCTTCAGACTGTAAATCTCCCAATTTGCTCCTGGTCAGCTCATCAAAAGCAGCTCTAAATCTTTGTATGAACTTCTGGTAATTATCCAACAATGGATCATTGCCCTCAATGAACGGCACACCCAACCTGCCTGTCCCTTTCTCCAACAAACTAAGAACAAGGGCAAGCTTAGATTGATCTATAGGAAATTATGCTGGCCACATCGAGCCAATTCAGAAATTGATCTTGAATACCCCCCGCTCCAATTCTCCAGTACACTTCCAAGAGATTTGCTGCCCAGATACTGGTTAGGCAGCAGGTTGTCGGGCTGCTTCTGGCTGAGGTAAGCCTTGACCCCATTTGCTGTGTTAGTTGTGCAGGCTTGTTATTTGCATATTCATTTGCTACTGATGCTGTAAGAATGCCTGGACAATTTGTTCGGCAGACAGTGGTGTGTCCCAAGGATCTGTCACCATATTTAAGGTCTAAAAGCAAGATTTCAATGCCTCTCTGATGAGAGCATGGTGAGGCCTTCAGGATAAGCCAGATCAAGAAACAGATATGGCAGGGATTCCAGAATGCTCTTTATTAAGGTAGAATAACATAATTTTAAAGACCTGTCCAAGTTTCTCTTTGTCCCATCTTATGTAAACAAAATCAAGGTGGGGCTATTTTGATACTTTCTTTCTCACACTTCTCTCTAGCTCAGGACTGTATAATCCTTTTTGCCTTAATGGCTCTCTCATACTTTCCCCAAGGACAGCTCTACATTCATTTACATTTTATAAAGCATCTTCAATATGTGTAGTCCTGCACAACCCATGTATCTCTGAGTTTGGTTCTCTATTTATGGGTTGAAGGCCTGTTCCATCTGTTCCAGGTGGAGATTGTATAGATAGAACCTTGTGTTTCTGAGATGTGTTGGATATCCCCTTTGTGTGGATATTGGCTTTTCTTCTTTCCTTTCCTTTCCTTTCCTTTCCTTTCCTTTCCTTTCCTTTCCTTTCCTTTCCTTTCCTTTCCTTTCCTTTCCTTTCC